AACGACAGCTTCTGTACCCTGCAAAACCTCTGCAAGGGGATCTTTCATCCAGAGCCTCACATTCTTTCCAGGCAAGCGAATGGTCCCATAGTGAAATTGGTCGCCGGTTTTCTTGGCCTCAGCAAGAACGGAAGGCCAGACCGCTTCCAAGAGCTCCTCGCCTGTAGAGCCACGCCTGATCTCCGCGATTTTCGTGGCAATGTATTGGCCTCGAAAAAAGACGTAAGTTGCAAGCTTGTGCAACACTGGGACCTGAACGCGTTCAACTTCCGGGTCACAAATGGGGGCACTAAAGGAAGCTGGGCCAAAAACACCTGAGAGAGCACTCGGAAGAAGCAAACATGGGGGTTTGGGAAGGGCAATCGTGGTGGCCAAAAGACTTTCCACATCAACAGAACGCTCCTCATGTGTTGGTGTCTGTTTCCAACGATCCAGCTCTGGCAACGGGCCTATCATCTGTTCAAACTCCCTGAGGTCAGTAACGGCCGCTCGAAGGGACTCAAAGGGGTGCGTTCTGGGATCAACGCTGGCCGCTCTGAACAAGCATCCGGAAGGGGCATCCGGAAACAAGTGTTGACGCAACACCTCGAACACCATGGGGAGTTCACTAGCCGAAAACTCACCCAGGAACCCCAAGAAAGTCCGAACCTGAGGATCGGCAAGGGTGTGGGTCCTGAACTGATCGTCCAAACGGCCATTCATGGCATGACGCCTGGCACGAATACACCCCAAATTACAGAGACCACTAACCAGCCGAAGTGCACGGCCATATTCCGACAAGAATGAAAGACCAGGTCGTTCGTCGGTAAGACGCACTAACCATTCAGTGTCCATCCCAGCCGGGGGTGGACGGAAAAACAAAAAGGCACACAGCCAGAAAGGGGACCCTCGAGCTCTTAGAGCTGACCCGCCTACCCACGCGGAGGGGGCTCGAGCCAAGGCTACAAACAATGGGAACCAAACATTGTGAAAAAAAATGGAGCCTGGGGAAAGGGAAAGGCCGGGACAGAAATGGCTACAACTTGCATACCCAAAAAAGAAGGATCAGGTTTGCAGAGCAAAGATCAGCCCCTACAAAATGCATTGCGTTTTTTAATGATGCCACTTGGGATTGTCTATTTAATCTTAAGAACATACTTCAAAAAAAACGATGCATTTTGTAGGGACCTATTTTATGGATGGTAGGCAGCAAAGGGTGCAAATTGTAGTAAACAACCCTGGGTACTGTTAAATTGTGCCTACAGTTAGCGGGCCCAAGTGCAAGCTGGAATTCGAGCGGGCATGCATTACGCTACAACTACAACTGCAGCTACAACTGCACCTGCAACTACAACTACCACTACATTACACTACAACTACCACTACATTACTCTACGCTACGCTACGCTACGGTACACTACGGTACACTACACTACACTACACTAATCGAAGGAAGTTTAGAAGTCAAACTTCCGAAAATATGGACATGAAAAGCAGAGCAGGGAAGAGGCAGAGAGAAGAGGAAGATTAGAAGGAAGAAGAATAGAAGAGAAAAAGTAAGAAGAAAGAAGATGCAGATGCGCGAAAACGTAGGAAAGTCGCGAAACACTGATTTGTGGCTCCGGAGGGTTGAAAAGTAGGCTCGCTAAAGCGGCGGGGGGGGGGACATCTGGGGGGGTGAGAGATGAAAAA